CAGTTGTGCTGCAAGAGAATAGTTATATGAAGCAAAGACATGTTTGTGAGATCTAGGCTGTTAAACCAATGATACAAATGTCCAATTTTGTTTCCTAGACTTGTAATGAGGTTGAACTACCTACTCTTGAAATGAACACTCTATCCCAGTCTGAAGTGCGAGACGTAGAGAAGGTAATGTTTTGTTTTGTTTTTCTGTTTAGTAAAACCAATGGTTTTGTTTGTGTTTATTTTATTTTGATTTTAGCTTGTCACCTTGTTTTAAATGTCACTACTATAACACATGAATTACTTTGCCATAATTATTGATACTCATTGGTTGAAAATGTCTTGTTCATAACATGAGATTTTTCTTTCTTTTTCTTTCAATTTAAGTGTTCAGTTAACATCTGCCAGTGATCCTTCAGTGTTAATGGATTCCAGTATTTTTGCAGCTACTGAAGGACTGGAAAAGGATAATTTCCAAATCCTTTGTCTTTAAAAGAATGTTTGTTTTTCTTTTAATTTCAGGTGTCTCCTGAGATGGACCAATTATCATTGGAGAATCAAGACCGTGTTGAGAAGGATATGGTGAAGGTAATACAAAGAGCATTGCATAATTTTAGGAAATGTTAGTTTGGTATAGTAAGAAACATCTCCACATGACCCTTTGCTTCTTTCATTATGTTTTCAGATCTCATCTGTCGAAGAGCATGTTTTAAATGGGGAGCAGAGCTTTTGTGCACCCACTGAAGCAGTTGAGGAGGTATTCACATATTTTGATTGAATTATTTACACTATTTCCTATTAATTGCCTATATTCTGGTGACCTGCCACAGTTTTATAATGAAGCAAAAATATTTTACACTTCTCCAAAAAATCTTTGATATTGTGTCTTATGTCTTTGCCCATTGCTTTGGGAAAAAAAACTGCAATTCAATTAAATATACAGGGGTTGGATAATGAAACTGAAACACCCGGTCTTAGACCATAATGGTGTTGAACCTCCTTTTGCGGCCAATACAGCATCATTTTGTCTTGAGAATGACAAATACAAGTTCTGCACAGTAGCCAGAGGGATTTTGAGCCATTCCTCTTGCAAAAGAGTGGCCAGGTCACTATACTATGCTGGTGACTTGCTTGTCCAAAACACCTCAAAATTGGCTCAATTATATTCAGATCTGGTGACTGTGTAGACCATGGGAGATGTTCAACTTCCATGTTCATTGAACCTCTGTCACCAGTCTTGCTGTGTGTATTGGTGCATTATCATCCTGATACATGGCACCACCTTCAGGGTATAATGTTTTAACCATTGGGTGTACATAGTCAACCTTCACACTGCTCTTACTGGTGGAATATGCAATCAGTGAAGATTGCCCACCCGACTGCATAAATATAGCCATGAAACCTCCAACACTATATTGGCCAGTATTTCAGTTTCATTGTCCAACCTGTGTAGGTTGTATGTTTCAGGAAACATAATAGTAACAATAACAGTCCAGATACAAGTGAATGCAAAGACTTTTTACTCAGTTTGGACACTAAAGTTGTTTTAATTGTTTTGTAGCTCTTAGAGAAAGTGTTTCTGTATGTAAAGTGTTTTTCTAATTTTCAGATAACTCCTAAGACCCAGCTGTCATCAGACACCAATGATTGTGG